TCAGCCCATCCTTTGGCCATGGCTTCCCCAGAAGCTTTCCCTTTGCCTGCTTCCAGGCCTGGCCAAGGAGCTCCCTGCAGCTGCATGGGGTCCTCCAAATGGGGGCTTCTGGAGCTGGAGTTTGGCTCACTCACACTCCCACTGAGTGGCCAGAATGGCACTGCCGTATTTTAGAGAATTCACTGCAGGAACATCCTCTCAAACTGTAGATGCCCTTGCCAAGGAAGAGTAGTCAAGCTTATGTTTTCCATAAAAAAGATGTTTCCTGAATGATAATTTTTTTTCTCTGATTCTCTGTATTAACTTTTTTTTTTAAGAGAAAATATTTCTTCTCACATGTGACTGTGTATTTTAAATATAATTAAAGGGAAACTAGTCTTTTTTTCTCCCTCTAAAGAGTTGAATTTATACATTTTAATATGAAGGTATTCTCAGTGGGGAGCAGGAGCCTATCATTGGCTTCTAATAGAGGCAACACAAACTGCAAATCTAAAAGAAACGAAATGGCTATGGCACAGAAAGGAGGAAGCGAATTTTAGATGCAGAGGGAGAATGCAAGTATTTAGACCATATCTGTAGCTATAAAGCTAGAGATAAAAGGCTTTTTCCTTTATATTTTCTTTTTATTGTTTTTTTTATAGTGCAGTACAATACAAACATTACAACCTGGCTGACTCCTGCAGAGATGCCAGGCACTAGCATCGTGTCCAAAAATTAGCTTTATACATATGCTAAATTAAAGATTGGCAGCCGCAGCAGCACAAATCCCATATTGGCAGCAGTTTGCAAATCCCACGTTGGCAGTCTTCTCCACATGAAAGAAGAGAGGAAATACAAAGGGCAAAAAGCCCAAGAGTCTTTCTCTAGCAAATAGCAGCGAATGGAACACAGAAACTATCTGCAGGGAAAAAAATCTCCAGATTACTGGAGATAAAAGAATATAGCTGAATCTGTGATGAGCTCAAACAAGAGCCCATTTACACCTTTTGGAGAGAGACTAGTAAGCAAATGTTATTTTGGTGGAAAGGGTGGGAGTTTGCTGCCAGACAGAGGACAGCCCTGCATGATGTGCAGTCAAGGGGGCTGGATTCTTCTTCAACACTTGTGCAAAGATTCCTTTAAATCTCTTTCATTTGTTTTTTGCTAAATAAATTGGACCTAAAACATATAGGGTGAATTGGGTTCTTCTTTACAAATTGTGTGTTTTGATTTTTCTGCAGAAAAAAATTAATTGCATATTTTATGAACCAATCAAAGTTGTCATTGCTTTTAATTCATTCATCTGAACATCCATATTTTCATGTTAATTCTGTTTATAACTCTGTTCAGGGTGTATTTTACATCAACAAGTGGTTTCTCTTACTTGTATGGTTGGCAGCAGTTCTATGTAGGTCTGCTCAGTTGGGGTGGATTACTTAGGTCCTTCAACCTGCCCACCTATGTAATTTTGACTGGTCTGGCTCCCTTCTTTTTGGACATAGGTCTGGTGCACAGCCCTGTTGCATTTGGCTTTCCCACCCTCTGCAGTGTGGGGCACTAGCCACCACATCAGCTAACCTGCCACAGAAACTGTGCCATTTCCAGGATGCTGTTTGATTTTCAGCAGCTCACACAATACAGAAGTATATGCTGGGAGAAAACAAAGACCCGGTAAGGGAGATCAGAGCTGTGCTTGGAGTCTCCAGGCACAGTACCATCTCCTGTGCCATCCAGACCATGCACAGGGAGAGCCAGACTGCAGGTGGATCTGGAATTACAGAGCACCTCACTATCTATCCTGCAGGAGAGGGAGAGGCAGGGGGCCCAGCAGCCACAGTGAAGACTTAGCAGCAGTGCAAGAGCTGCAGGATGAGAAGAACCACATACATAGCTTATGAACTCCCTTGCAAAGAGGGAACAGAACCACTGCCATGGCTACCTGGAAGCTGGTGATTGCACAACTTTCTCTGCTACACTACCAAACATCCGTGACTGTGAGTGAAAGCCAGCAGAGCTGTTGGCCCTCTCTTCCCACAGGTGATGGACGCACGAGTTGTCAAAGTATTCTTCGCTTGCATTGGCTTTCCAGCTGCATCAAGAGATGGCATCTAAAGGCTGGATACGGGATTTAGATGAGGAGAAAGTGTTGTTGCTGTATTATTCATTAGCTGACCTCTGCTACTCATGTTTTGGACGAAGGCCCTTACGTTTTCCACTGAGGCACTCACTGAAGCCTGGTTGTGCTCCACACTTGTGGTGGCTTTCTCTGCCAAGTCTGATTTTGCACGTTCACTCTGTGGAGTCTTCTCTCAACTCTGCAGCTCTGGTTTTGTTCCCAGGGTTTCTCTAGAGCCTGTAGGACCAGCTGTGTCCTTGAGTTGTCTGCCTTTGGCTGCAGATGCCAAGATGCTTCAAACAAGAAAAATTACCAAGTGGCACGTTCCAAGCAAATCAAAAAGCAGCTCTGTTTCACGCAATGAATAGTTAGACTCATTTTCCTTTCGATAGTATGGCAATAAACATCAGTCAAAAAGCAAGAGTATATTCATTAAATAATCCAGTCAAGGACTATTAATCACAAAGGGCCTGCCACTTGTTCCAAGGATCTCTCATCCAGTGTAGGTAGAAGGAGAAAGTTGTTTTCTTCTTACTCTTGGGAGCACAGAATTTTTGACAGACTCTGTGAAAGAAAAATGCATCAAGACCAGCTTCCAAAATACAAGATAGTGAGAAGAGCTTAGACTGACTTTTTGGTGATGGGTCTGACAATTTGAAGGCATCACACAGACCAGTGGATGTGACTTGGACCCATGCTATTCTAGGCTGACAAATGCACATCTTGACTCATGCCAAGCGTATGCTTATTCTGTGATTGCATACTGTGCCTGCAGTACATTAAACCATAAGAAAAGAGTTCTGGGCAGGTTTGTCTGGAAAAGCTTGCTGTGCTGGGAATCTATTTTGTTATCTCAAGTTTAAGTTTGATTTTTATAAATCCTGAAGCATTAGATGAAGTTCAGAGGAAGAACTGTAATTATGTATAAGCTTTGCTGTGTAAAATTCTTGTCTCTTACATAATCAATATCATGTGATTCAAAGCCATTAATTCTAGTGAGTAAGCCTGTAAGGACAAAGTCCTTAGGCCATGGAAAGTTTAGGTCCTGTGTCAGGGCCTGTGCCTTCTCCTGGGAACAGAGAATTTTTGACAGCCTCTGTGAAAGATGAATGCATCAAGAGCAGTTTCCAAAATACAAGAGAGTGAGAAGATAGAGCTTAGGCTGACTTTTTGGTGATAACTCTGACCATTTGAAGGCATCACACAGACCAGAGGATGTGACTTGGATCCATGCTATTCTAGACTGACAAATGTGCATCTTGGCTCATGCATCAAAGTTAAGCTACTCTCATGAATCATCATGGCCCTGCATATAAAGGAGGGTAACCATATCCAAGGGACAGCCAGGTGGCTTTGGAAGGGTGGGAATGGACGGGGAATAAGAAGGAATCCATATGAAATCCATGGTTAGCTGAGGGAAGTCAAGTCATTTTTGTGCACACCCACAGCCTCTGATCTGGGTCAAAGTTACCCTTTTAGAAATTTTGAACAGCCTTCACCTGGCAGAGGGACCTTATGTTGCATCAGTGCTTCACATCTTGTGGTCGAAATTATTTTTAAGTCTTGGATTAGGTGCTTTAATCATTAGGCATACTTCCCTGCTGACAACAGCTTTGTTTTTTGTAACTTCTTCATAGTTCTTATCCAAAATTATATTGGTGCTTCTCTTTTGTTATGTTCAAGAACTTACCCATTCTCATGAAGCATTCAAACACTTGAATTATTTGTGCATGCCTTGCATCTTGAATATAGTTAAACCAAACAATACATATTTATCTTTTTTAATCTCTTTTCTTCACTTTGCTCCATTTTGCTTCCGTAGAAATTTATTTCTATTCATTATGGTCTTTCTGATGACAAAGTGACCAGAACTAGAAGTAAAACTGGCAGCACTGTTGTTGCTGAGCTGTGTAGAGATGGAGATGACATGATACAGCTCCATTGGCCCTTTTTTTGATTACTGCACAGTCATAAAGCACATCCCTCTCTCATTTTCATTCCTCATTAGCCACACTGCCACTTCGGCTTTGTTTTTTGCACTCATGGTCCATGGCTTGGAAGTTTGATTTTATCCCTATCTCTTCTTTATTTAATTCTCATCCTCTTGAACCACTTTTATTTCATGCTATGGCTACTAGAAATTTTTACTAGGATGATGTTCACATTTTCTCCAAGACCATCAACATCGATCCAAATTAGGGAAAAAATCCAGCAGGAGAGCTCTGAACACTTTTCTTAACTCAATCTGATAATTTTACTGTTTATTTCAGCTTATGATCTGCTTAACAATCTTTTCCAGAAATGCATCTTTTTCCCCTCAAACACTAATTTTGTATGCTCAGATCTCAGTGGTAAAACTTGTAAATTGAACTGAATATGTGAGAAAATCTTGAGCAGTAAAATGCTGCTGCAATGCATAATTGTTGCAATTGTCCCCCTGACTCCACTGCATTATTTTCCTTCTATTATATCACAATGGCATGAGAATATATATCAAAAAGCTGAAACATGCAGGAATCATGACCATCTACTCCTCCCCCATGTCCTGTCAGTTTGTTCATCCCAGATTAGTGTCTGTTGGCTTGGGAAGCAAAGAGGGAGCAGATGGACCACAAAATGAGATTCTGTAACCTTCTTACCCAATAGATCTGCTTTCTGCATGTATTCAGACATATTTACTTACTGTAGTGACAATTATCAGTTTTATTTCTTTTAAGAAAACCAAACAACTTCATCTCAGTATGAAAGAGCAAACTAAATTGTCTTCTGGCACCGTTACTGTCCATATAATTTCAAATCAATTAGTAGAAATGTGGCTGGATTCCTATCTGCACAATACCTGAATATGCCTATTAAATTCATAGACATGCTTAGATATAAGGGGAAAAACACAGCATGTACCTTCTCTGGACCTTTAGGTAACTTTTTATTGTTCATAACACAGGTCAGAAGAGCACAGTTGTTTATTTTCTGGTATACTTTGTTTGAATATATTATTTGGACAGCCAGATGAAGCATCTTTTTATTTGCGAATGAAGGGAGCTGGATACAAACGTAACCAAATAATAAGTATAATAACAAAGCTTCAAAACCATTCTGTGATTGTATGAAAATGCATCAAGTATAGAATTCCCTTTATTCAGAAACTTGCATATATCTCATTCAAAGCATACCCATTGAGAGCACTAGACATATTTTAAATGAGAGGAAATAAATAAATGTTTGGTTAAGGTGTAGCTGCAAATGGAAGCTGCCCTCAGCCATGAAGCATGTCAGTACACCCATACATTGAGCTCAGATCCACTGCTAGTGTAATATTCTTATAGCAGCAGAGATGTCTACCTTTGCCTTTCATATTAGCAAAATGCTGTGTGTCTCATCTGGGATAGGAGACACCAGCCATGGAAACACTGAGGTGAGATTCAGCTTGACTGTTGTAGCTCCCTTGGAAGGAGGTGCTTCAGCTGTGGGATCTGGGTCCCTCCAAAGAACAAATAATCTCAATACCTCAGGCAGCCACTCTAGAAGAGAAATCTCCTTGCAGACATACTGACCTCTGTAACAAAACCTCTAGAAAAAAACCTTAGAGCGGGCACCAAACTTCTAGATTACTCAGGCTGGATGCAAGGAATCCAAGTGTATTGTGACAACGCATTTGGCCAAATACAATGCAACAAGCTCCTGTAATGAAAAAAGTGCCTTCACTCTCACGCTGAGTGAATGGGACTTGTCCAACAAGTATATGGCACACATATGGCCCTGCACTGGAAGCAGTGGGTATCTTCCTTAGGAGGAAAAAGGAACATGTTAAACCTAGTGATTAGAACCCAGTTTTAGAATGTTTAGGAACTGGGGAAAATAAAATCAAGAGGTAGACACTCTGAGTGCAAGAATTGCCTGGCTGCCTTATATACACGAGTGCATTGCCAAGAGCTGCAGGTGTTCAATCAGACTGCTTTTATTTGAGGTTCCTAACGTGGATTTTGAAACCACCATGTAGGCAACCCGGCTTGAAAATTGACCTTAATTTCTTCTAATTGCATGTCTTATTCTTCATTATTTTTCTTGTTAGAGACAGAATTTTGAAAGGCGATTCACTAGTGCAGCTATTTTTGACTCATCGCTGCCTGTCTTACTTTGTGTTATTTAATGGGTTCCAGTGGCCATATGCTGCAGAGAATCCTGGAACAAAGTGAGTAAACTGGGAGGCATTGCTCAGAAGGATAAATTTCACAGTTGGAAACACACTTAATACTAAGCCTTCTAACCAGTTTTTCCAGAAATCGCAAGCTTGATTGCCATGATATCTGAACATGGCATTAGCTACTCTAATGAGGAAAATAATTGATATGCTATGGAAATTAGGTCTAATTAGATCTTGTTAAGATAAATATCTCAGTTCAGCTGAAAACTTGAAGAGATACATTTTGTAGCATTCCATATTATAAATATGACCCTTGTTCTTTACCCCCCTCTGTGTCTTGGGTTACTACTGGTAGAAATGGATGTGAAAAGCCTCCTTATCACAATCGCTACATTCTATGTCCACTTGACGTGAAATAAGTGACAAAGATGCTGGATAGTTTAAACTTTGCATAGCTTAAAACCCACTTATTTTTTACATTGGCATTAGACAAAGAGCCAAATTTCAGAACTGTGCAACAAAATCTGTCCTGCCTATTCATTTTCTTATATTAAACAAATATATTAATGTTTATAAATTTTCAGATTCATGGCAAACAATGTTCTTCAGTACTCTTTACCACTGGTTTCAGTGACTTTAGAACAACATGCATGCAAAATTATATCAATACTATCTTAATGGAGATAAATATTGAATGTAAACAATAAAAAATCAAAGTTCCTTTTAAATTTTGAAGGAAAAAGAAGAAAGAAAGTAAAAAAATATATAAGGTGGGCCATCCAAAAGGTGGCTAAATTTCAATAGTATTTAGACCAAGAAGATGACTGATACCTCCATGTATACTTTGCAAGGTACTGCTAAGCAATGGGCAAAATTCATCTCCCCTCTTCACTGGTGGAGTTGCCATGGGACTCAGAGCAAGATGAAACCTTGTGGGCAGCTGCTTTGTTTTCTTCCATCTTGCAAAAAAACACAGATTCAAAATATGTCCTGTCCCAGTGGGCTTGATTTTCCATCTTGCACACTGACACTTCTGCAGTGTGAAAGAAACAGGAATCAGTGTTCAGCGATAGTTTTGGTTTGATGTTTTTTCATTCTCACAGAATAAGCTATTTAAAGTGAATCCTTTAGAAGTCTGTCTTCAGATATTATTTTTTTCAGATGCACTGAGCTAATGACCTACAAGCCCTAAAACAGCTTATCATGTAACATCACAGGCCATTTTAAAAATGCAGCATATCAACATATCAATTTCCCTTATTTGAAGGAATTCCTTTGCCATCAGCCTGGCAGAGCTGGCAGTTTTGGACAGCTGTTTCTGTTCCCTGCAATCACCAGCTTGCCTTCTGGGGAAGGACGTGCTGGGGCCAGAGCCCCCTCTGCAGAGCCCCGGGACCCCGCCTTGGTGCGCCAGTGCCACTGGGAGCCAAGGGCATGGGGAAAGCACGGTGGACCATTCTGGGCTGGGGGATTTGTCCATGAGGACCACCACTCCAGGAGGCACATCCACCAAGTGGTCCCTGCAATCACGAGGGCCTGATGACTAAAAGCACAAAGGCTTTTTCTAGGCAAATCCACTTCCTCTGAAAAACAAGAAAACAAAAATCCATCTGTATGTCCTCTTTGTGGTAAGTCTTGACCAGGGGGAAAGGTGAATGATCTGATGCCTTGCAGTCATGGTTCCTGACAGCTTTTCAATGTCTCTGTGTCTTGATAAATACATATCTCTGTCCATTGACCTTTTTTCTTATGAGTGTGGGGGAAACTAGCTCACAGGGCATCTACTGTGTCATTTCCTTGGATGAAGGAGAATAATAAGTGAGTAAAACAAGATGACTCTCCCTATGACCTTTAAATATTAATAAATTAGATATCTATTTGCATTACGCATTTTCTATTATTAATATACTTCTATTTTTCTTGGTATGCCTGGTCATTACAACCAGAAGATTCTGCATCTTCCATTTCAGAAAGTACTTGCAAGAATTTAGAAGAGTCCCAAAGATTCCTTCCACATACATATGTACACATACAGTCACTGGATGAGATACCATGCAGACCAGCAGCAGATGTATGCAGAGTTCTTCTGGTGGCAGTTTATAGCAATGATTTCCCTATTTAAGTCACACAGCACTAAGGCATCAGTTGGGATTTTTTTTTTAATCTATTTACTCTTTTTGTTACAAACCTAATGATTGCAGAAATGAGAAATCAGCCTGCAAACAGTCCAAATTTAAATAAAATCACCCCCACACTAGACTATAACAGTGGCAGATGGACAGAGGAAGAAAGTGTATATAGTCATATTTTTTGCCATTATAGTATAGACCCTTTCAGATTGCAGCAAGCAACTTGCCATCTGCAAATCTGAGTCTTTCCTTTTCTGCTGAGGCACTGATTCAAAAATCATGATTTGTGAAGTTTGAGTTAAAGTATTAAGAGGCTTATCTCTCATTTTAAAGGCATACTGATCTCCTGATTTTACTTCAAACACATGGGAAAAGCATCCTGAAAATTTCCCTCAGCTTCTTCTTAAGACAAAACCCAAAGCCACTGGCTCACTCTTAGGTATGTGGTGAGGTAATGGGTTCTGCACATGAATAGCTTTTTGTCAAATAGTCTCTTATTGCTGTTGTTCTCTGGCTTTTGTTTGGTTTACTCTTTGAGGAAGCGATTTGCTCTGTGCCTATAGGATATGTAGATCACACTGGGCACCTTCCTTACAGCAGCACACATACTGACAGCAGCAATGAGCATTTCGTTTTAACGCTGATCCTCTGAAGAGAGAAGAATCTGATCACTACATAAATGTATTGATTTTTTTAGGGCCAGATCTTCATTTAAATGGCCGCTGATTTAGTAGGTGTGTCAATTTAATACAGATTTGCAAACAAAATTTGAGTACATTTTAAAAATGTTTCAGTGTGTCTACCCACCCCTGCTTTCCACAGTTTTATCTGTTTAAGTTTGCAAAGGACGTGACTATCGCAGAGATGAGACAAACATATGCAATTTGCAGCCTACCGGGGTTTCTTATGCTTTCACACTATGGGCAGGGAGTTACTTCATCTAGGGGTCAGGACTCTTACACAGGTTTAACTTACCAATAACCAAAAAATCGCCTCTAGGTATGAAAGCCTATTTTAAACTTGTTTAAGAAGAGGAGGATGCAATTAAATTCTGGCAATTCCCTTTCAAGAGGTGCTGCAGTACGCTTTGCATTGCAGTATTTCTAATTTTCACCAGGTCAGGGTGGCTCTCTGTGAAGCAAAAAAAGAAAAGGTTTATTTTCCTAATCATACATGCAAGAGCCATGTACAAAATAAAATATTAAATACAGTAATTACAGTAATTTTTGTTAAAATGTTTTTACACAATAAACCTTTGGCTTTGAAAGCTCTACCAGAAGCAAAAGAAAAACAAACTGTAATGAAAAAACTGAAATGAGAGGCCACTAATAACACTAAAGGGAGCCCAGAAGCCAAATTAATGTTTCTACAAAGAAATACTTTTCTACACCAGGCAAATTCCTAGTAAGACCTTTACCTGGGTCTTTATAGACAGGATTCAGATTTCATTTTGAAGTATGTTTTTTACAAACTGTTTAGTGTTCATATGTCATTACCACTGTTGGGCCAGATTGCACCTGGCATCGATATAAACAAAGCTTTGGCAAGAATTCTTTCCTTTGGGATGGAGACATCTGATTTTCAAGCTGAAAACATGTCAGTGTTGCAAGACACTCCAAATAGCCTGTTTTACCAGTGCAGTAAATTAACCCGCCTGGTGTAGTGTTAAATGCTTTACAAACATCAACTGAAGGTGAGGGAGGGAAACACCAAAAAAACAAACAAAAACATTTCAATAACTGGTTTGACTACGAGCAGTGAAAAAAAGTACAAGAGCTTGAAGGGGGGATGGGGTGGGGGGGGACATGCCTGGGAGACAGGACAGCAGAAAAGCAAATTTTTAGAATTTTGTCCTGTGTTTAACCTAGAGATTGTGTGCCATGGTGTGGGAAGACACAGAAGGAGCAGAACAAGTTATATAGATTATAGAAAAAGCCTCTTCATTTGAAAAGCATATCAGGATAACAGCAAACAGTGACTCTAACTCATCATTGCCTTATCTAGAGGAGGAAGGCTTTTTGATAGCTATTGCATGAAAGAGGTTCACCTTTAATGCCGCAGAACACTGGTGGACAAAGACTACGTAGGCAAAACAGAGGATGAAATATTAGGCTATCCCCCTTGCTTCCCCATTGTTCAGGATGAAAAAGCTGAGCTGAACTTCTGGGCACTCAGAATTGGCTGTGTGAAAGCTCTCATCACTAGATCGTGCATTTGTGCTAAGCTTGAATGGTCGAGAGGACAATGGGGTTCATCCTGCCTGTGGCTCTGCAGTGATTCTGCAATATAGATGTGAAACAAGAATAGCTGGAAAGTAGGTCCACATGCGTACGGAGTCGTAACAACGGCCTTCCTGAGAAACACAGGCAGAAGTAGTATTCTTAAATATATATATATTTATATAGCTGTTAGACTGAAGCCATTTTGCTACTCGTCTTGCTATTTTAATTGTCCTAATAGCTGTCTATTTACAAACATGCATGTAAGTGGGCTAGAATAATTAATTAATATTCATAAGCATTCATAAAATGTGACAAAGTTTATGTTAGGGCAGATGTTAATTCCCAAGAGGATTACATTTCTATTAAGTGTAATCTTATATTAGTAAGATCGAGCGTGATTGACTCTTGCTTGGCCAGAAATAGAGAACTTAGCATCCATACTGGCAGAGATTATATCTGGTCAACAGGAAAGGAAAACTGGCCAAGAAACTGCCAACACAGAATCTGAAGCTGTGAAACCTGGTCAAGAAGAAATAAAGCCAAATAAGCAACAGATGAAAAATTATCTTAAAGCAAAGATCAAATCACTCAGTTGGAAACATGGATTGTATTAGAAAAGGTGATGCTGAGAACATGAAGGGACATGAGAATTTTAAAAACAACAATATTAATAAATAAAATGGAGTGCTGATTACTAGTATTTTTTTAAGTGGACCTTAACATAAAAAAAAAAAAAGTAAAAAGTAAACAGTTTTAATATGCTCAAAGATATCTGTCAAAGAGCAGAGAGGACTTCTAAACTTTGCAAATCATGTCGAGGGGAATGCCAGAGGTATCACCACTCAAGAGCCATGGACATACTGGAGTAACCTCAGAAATGGGCTCCAAAAAAGTTGAAGGACCTAGAATATCTCTCCTCTGAGGACAGGCTTATAGAGCTGGGACTGTTCAGCTCAGGAGGATCCCATCCATGTATATAAATACCTGCAGGGAGGATGCAAAGAGGACAGAGCCAGGCTCTGCTCAGGGATGCTCAGTGACAGGGCTGGAGGCAATGAGCATAGCCTGAACCACAGGATGTTCTCTCTGAACATCAGAACAATTTTTTACTGTGTAGGTGACTGAGCACTGACAGGTTTCCCAGCAGCTGTTAGTCTCCATCCTTGGAGATATTCAAAAGCTATCTGGACACAGTCCCAGGTGTGCAGCTCTGGGTGTGTCTGCTGTAGCAGGGGATTGGACAAATGATCCCCAGAGGTCCCTTCCAACCTCAGCAGTCCTGTGATTCTTTGACTTCATCTGAAGCCTGGTGGGGAAGGTGATAGATCAGATGAAGAACCAGGAAAGAAAGAGACTTTGGTAAGATACAAATTTCACACTAGTTTTCTGGTACTGTTGTACCTTGCACCCTCAGATATTGGAGTGGTCTAGTGGATTCAACAAGGACTTGTTTTCTTGACCCGTGCTGCAGAAACCTACTGCCTCTAAAGAGGGACTTCCTAGGAAGTTTATAGATGATTGCTTTCCAAATCAAAGAGTGAGGAGAAAAATGGGTAGGAAACTTGCCAACAGATAAATTCAAGGAGTGTTAATGCCTGTGTGTTTTGTCCTCAGAACATAAGTGAAGTGCTCTAGATGTAGAGTAACCGTAGGACCGCTTTGGATTGTGCCAGCTACAGCCCCACCCTAAGCAAAAGCAAAGACACTATAACCAGAGAAGGGCAGGAACAACCTTCTGTATCCAGCAGCATAAGCACACACCAGCACAAGCACTGCTAGCACACTGGCCACAGTGCCTCAGTGGCCAGCTGGAATGAGGAAATGGAGCCAGGGAGCTTCCGGAGGTTGCAGGGGTGGCTGCCAAAAGGACACGATGCTTGGTGGCAGGCTGGCAGCACAGGGAGAAGCCACTGCCAAGAAAAGGGAGGGGAGTATCACCTGAGTCCCACCAGGGTTAACCTGCACCTGATGCAGGTGATGGGAATGGGGATTCTGGCTGGAGAAAATGTCTCTGAGCACTCTGGGGGAAAACTGCCTTCTGTTCTCAATACAAAACACATTATTACTGGAGCAATCAAAAAATATAAACTGGTTAGCAAGTAAAGCAGAACAGTTTCCCAAAAAAGAGATTTTTTTAGGCAAGTAGAACACATTTTCATTAATCTCTTTTAGCATTCCTTCATTCAGAACAAGAAGGAGAATCACACTTAGTCAAAAGGACAAAAAATATTGCTAAATACATACTTTGTTCAGACAGTTGCACAACAATAAAGCGAGTAGGAAAAAAAATATAAGAGGAAAACAAAGTGAGAAAAAAAGCAGTTTAATGGGTGTCAAACTTGTAAACACTGAATTCTATTTTATTGCTGTTAGTTTAAAATTAATATAATATAAACAAAGCAGCAGTACTGAATTAATGCAGTTATGTTGCTGTAAAATCCTGATTGTCCATGAATTTTATAAACACAGGAGAATAAATTATATTGCTAGTAGCATTTTAGCAAATAGTTTCATGCCAGAGCATTGCATCAACTTAATGTTATTGGTGTCAAATAAATCTGAAGTAGTTAAATCAGTACAAAGTCCAGGCTGACCCCAGCATTTATTGTATGTTTATAGAAATGGTTCAAAGCTGAACCCATTTTCTTATTAGTCTTTTACTTACACTACATTTGACAGAGTCATTGTCCAGAAAGTGAGAGAAAATACCTGATAAGCCATGTGTAAAGAATTTGAACCCAAACCCTGACAGTCTGCTTGAAGTGAATGAAATTCATGTCAGACTTGGACAGATGCAAGAGTAGCTAACAAAAGCACAGGTGAAGGAGCCCTGCATATTCAGGTCTGGAAAAATGTTATGAAGGGAACAACATAAATGAAGGCAACAATTGTGTTAGTCAAGTAATCAATAATTTAACAAGGTTCTCTGCTTCCAGATGCCTCTGTTGGTTATGCTGAGGTAATTCTATGAGGAAATTCATATGGATGCAAGAATGGGGGCTTGTAGTGAGGGTTGTTAAGGGATGCATGCATTTGCTTGAATCCTACCTACTACTCTCCTCATGGGCACAAACTAGGTGCAATGGTGGGTGCTCAGCTGGCTGGGCTGTGGTGGAAAGAAAAACAAAAACAGCTCAAGAAGTTCCTTTTTCCATGTTGCCCTCTCTAGTTTCTTGTTGTCTTCCTTTGCCATGCCCTTTCTTGCTGTGGTGCAATTGTTTGTTTGGCCAGGCTGTGAACAGGACTGATTAAATAGGCTGGGGTAAAAACAAAATCCTACTCTTCCACACAGAAAAACCTGAGTTTCTCTGATGGAAATGCTTCAATGATCCAGTTTGCATCTCAGCTCGAGAAAAAGTTAATTGGAAATGCTTGCATAAAGAAAAAGCAAAGCATGGAATGGGAATAAGCAGAAGAGGGTAGGAACTGCTTAGATGTTGCAGAAATAATCATATATTGGTTTACTTAATTGTTTTATTGGGAAATATGCACTAACTTTAAACTTCATAGATATTCCAGAAGCCCCACTGAGGAGCACCTTCTCAGTCAACCTAGCATTTAAAAATAATTTATTTAATCAGGGAAGTAAGTTGAAGAAAAGCTTAGAGAAGGAAGTGTCATAAGGTCTAGTAGCTTGTTCCACTGCCATCAGGAATATCTAAATGAGGGACTTAATCAGGTTTTGAAGAATACCAATAAACAATTCTCATCATGTCTATAAAGGTGTGTATTGCATTGTACCAGGACAATATATCTCTCAGTGATGTACAAATACCACCCTACAATCCTGAAGGATTGACAGAGATCTGACCTAGAAAACAACCACCTTCTCAGGTCCCAGTTTCAAACTGGAGAAAAATCTCAGTTCCTTTGACACAAATCACAGGTCTGGGCAGGGAAAAATTCACA